TCAATAAATGAAAATCCATACCAGTATTCATTTCTATATCATATCCCCTTTTTCCTTTAAGAAAGAGATTGACTGTGATTATTACCATTTATAAGCAACCCCATTTAAATGAAAACAAAAAATTTATAAGCAATATTTGGGAATTTGGGTGCTTTTCATTCCAAACTGCTTCCTGCTGGTTGGGGGCACTGTCCATACCATGGGAATCATGAAAAATCAGAAACCTGGCCAGGTCTTTGCTTTTGTAGTCTGCACAGCTGCATCATCCCAGCTGTTTCAGATGTGGGACTCTGCTTCAGGGGGGTCTTGCTTCATCAAGCCATAGTAGTCTGGAAGGAATCCACAGCTCCTCATTTTCTGTGGAAACAAAAGCAGAAATTCCTTTCCCAAGTAATCTGTCCTTGTGTTTAAATTTTGAAGTCAAAGCATTTTTAAAATATATAAGATGGATTAATTCAGTAGCATTGACAATCAAGTGTATTTTAGCAGTTGTTGTTCCTTCCTTAGCAACTGAACAACTGAAGGACAACACAATAGCATACAGTATCCAGACTCTCTGTATTTTTCATCTTTATGTGGCTTTTTTTATTACTTTTTATCTTTTAATTTTACTTTTTTGAGACAGGGTTTCTCTGTGGAAATCTGCTTGCCTCAGCCTCTGGAGTGCTGGGATTAAAGGCACACCCACTTATTTTCTCTCTGTCTCTGTCTCTTTGTCTCTGTCTCTGTCTCTCTCTCTTTCTTTTTTACCACTGTCTTGTTTCTTTTTCTCTCCAAATCCTACATATATTTTTAAACACACTGTAAACCTTTTAGAGGTTTTACTTCATCTGAATCTGACTTTACTGTAAATCTTTATGTTTTTCTGGTCACATGTCTTTTATCTGCTAGACAACATTGTTAAAATCAAAGCCGCAGCTGTTTTAACTGCTGCTTTTCCAAGATGGCAGTCGTAAGTTTACCTCAAGCACTGGCTGCTTAAGTCTCTGCTTGTCTCCAGCAAAACAGAGCCCACACAAGAAAACACTGCTACCAAGAAACCATGCTTCTCTGTGTTCTGGAAATTCTTGCTGCACATTGAGGCGCCATATGTAACATAATTTCTCTCCACCAGCCTGGTCCTAGAGTCTCATCAGTCCCAAATGAACTGTACACAGGACACTATATTAATTATGAAGCTGTTAGCCATTTGCTATGGCTTCTTAACGGCTAGCTCTGACTTATTTATTAACCCATAATTGCTAAGAGTATTTCCACGTGGTCTTCTCTTACCAGAGAAAAGGTCCAGACCTCTTATTTCTCTCAAGTCCTACATGGTGACTGACTGTGCCTTTGTTTCCCAGAGTCCTCCTGGACTCCTAGTCCCACCTATCTTGCTTCCCTATTGGCTAACAGTTCTTCATTCATCAACCAAAAAAACAAACATATACACAGAAGGACTTCCCCCATCACTACTTCTTAGTTTTTTGTTTTTTTGTAGAGAAGCAAAACTTTGTTGTTAAATCAAAACCTCTTCTATAACTCCCTGCTGCTATTTCCCACTCTTCTTTAGCTGACTACAGTCTACACTTGATCTCTATTAGTCTCATGGACACTTATATTTTTGCTCCATATTTGAATCTATAAATGATGCTCAAGTAGTCATTAAATATGTATTATATTATAGTTGTATTATATACATCATTAGATTGCAGCCTGCTCATTTTCATTGCCATTATATTTTTAAGGTTTTTTGTTTTTTTGAGACAGGGTTTCTCTGTGTAGCTTTAGGTCTTCTGGAACTCACTTTGTAGACCAGGCTGGCCTCAAACTCACTAAGATCCACCTACCTCTGCATGCCGAGTGCTGGGATTAAGGGCATGTACCACCACACCCCTCTTACAATGTCTTTTTAATTAGACTTATTCATTTTGTGTGAGTGCTTTGCCTGTATGTATGTATGTGCACCACTTCTGTGCCTGGTGCCTGTGGAGGTCATGGGGGGCATCAGATCCCCTGGATCTAGAATTTCAGATGGCTGTGGGCCAATATGTGGGTGTTGGGAATTGAACCCAGGTCTTCTGCACGAGCAACAAGTACTTTTCACAGCTGAACCAACCCCCACAACTGTATTTTTCAATTTTGTTCATATTGACACAAACAGCTCTTATTCAAACCACTGCATAGCATTGCAATAGTATGTGTCAAGTGAAGGGGTCATAGTTTGCTTGTTCATTTTTCTATTGATTGGTAGTCATGTGATGTTCTATTCCTTATTTTCACCTTTGAGGTTGTACTGAACATTTGTATCCTCTGTATATGTCGAAAACTCCAAAGTTTTCTAAGTATATGTCAAAGAGTAAAAGGGTCTTAATTTCTCTACATTTGTGTCATTATAGCACACTATTAAAAGGAAATTATTTAAACATATTACTGAACCTTTACAATATGTCAAGATCAACTAAACAAGAGAGACAGAATTTCTTCTGTTTTTGAGGTCTTATATTTTATTTAGAGATGAGAACAAATTTCGAGATGAGAAAAAAAACAAAAACTAGTAAGCTACCTTCAGAGAATACTAAATGCGACAGAGTGAATAATTGCATTTGTTCTGACTCAAGATCTTCCTTACTTTTCCATTTCACCTGGGATTGAATAGAACTGCTTCGCCCGGCTGTAAGACTTGGCACCATTAGCCCTTGCTTCTGTCTGTTATTTTCTCTACACTCTACCACCTTGACCTCGAAGTCTTTGGACTCAGTTACTTTCTTCTTCCTGCCTCACCACTTTCAAAGACGGTGTTCTAACGGCACAGAAGGTTCTTTTCACTTCTCCTTGCCCCTCTCATGCGTCACATCATTTCCTTCAGTGTCACTTACCTCAGTGGGTGATGATGCATGTATGATGACGCATCTGCCTGCCTGGCCTGCTAGTTTGCAAGGTTGTGAGATGAGCCTGCCGCCGCCGCCGCTGCTCTCTGTAGCTCCTAGCCCGCACCCTGACACATAGATGTTCCTTAGTGAATTTTATAAAATTAGCACAAACAAGTGTGCTTCTCAAAGTTTGCCTACATGCCCACTTTGATATCGGAAATGCCACATACCCGATCGGAGAGACAACCTGTGTCAGTTACTGTGTGCTTGTTGGTTTTTGCCAACATGACTTGGCTTTTTGAGTCATGCTGGGGATCAAGTTCATACCTTCATGATTGTGTAGCAAGGGTTTTTACCAAATGAGCCATCCCCAGCTCCACTTGGCTAGTTTTCTTTTCTTATATGATCTGACTCCTGCTATCTGTTTACCATGAATATCCCATGTTCTTAGCGCTGTGTATCCTTCCCAAGGCATTATGTCAGGAAATGACAATGATGTTTGGCTCATTCATGGTCATGCTAAATTTGATTACTTGTCTAAGATGGAATCTGCCAGATCTCCTCATTATGGAGCACATATTATCATTATCATTATCATTAATAAATGCTTTAGGGTGGCCTTTGAAGACCATGTAAATCCCTGCTTAGCATCCTTCACCTAATGGTCTTGGCAGCCATTAGTGACTCTTGCTTGTGACAATTGTTTTCTTGGTAGTTGGCAAAAGATATTATATAACTTAGCTATTTATTCTACATCTCCTGGCTGGCATTCTTTTTATCTTCCCCCATCCATTCATTTTTGAACTGCTATTGAAATATCAGAATGGATGCATAATTTTTCCAGAATAATTTAAAACCAAATAAAGTGCTTCTTTCTTGAATGTTTCAGTAGGTTTTTAAAACATATTTGCTACATTGTTTTCTCAAACAGTATTTTATATCCAGTTATCTTTGTGAAATAACATACTTTGTTTTTAAATATTATTTATTTATATTACACACCAATTCCAGTTCCCCTTCCCTCCCCTGCTCCCACTGTCCCCCCACACGCCTCATCCCCATCTGCTTCTCAGAGGGTAAAGCCTCCTCTCATGGGGAGTCAAGGAAATCTGTCCTCTGGCCATGTTGAGGCAGGACAAAGCCCTCCCCCCGGTGTCTAGACAGAGAAAGGCATCTCTCCACAGGAAATGGACTCCAAAAGCCAGTTCATGCACTAGGGATAGATCCTGGCCCCGCTGCCAGTGACCACACACACTGCCCAAGCCATCCATGGTCACCCGCATTCAGGGGGCCTAGTTTGACCTGTGCTCCCTGTTCACCAGCTGTCAGTCCAGCGTCAGTGAACTCCCAGTAACTCAGGGCAACTATTTCTGTGGGTTTCCCCATTGTACTGTTTCTGTGGGTTTCCCCATTGTGGCCTTGACCCCTTTGCTCATATTATTGCTCCTCCCTCTTGTTCAGCTGGACTCCGGGAGCTCTGCCTAGTGGTTAGTTGCGGATCTCTCATCTGCTTCCATCAGTTACTAGATGAAGGTTCTGTGATGACAATTAAGGTAGTCGTCAATCTGATTAGAGGAGAAGGCCAGTTTAGGCACCTTCTCCACTATTGCTTAGAGTTTTATCTGGGGTCATCCTTGTGGATTCCTGGGAATATCCCTAGCCCCAGGTTTCTGGCTAACCCCATAATGGCTTCCTCTATCAAGACATCTCTTTCCTTGTTCTACTTCTCTGTCCTCCCCCCAGCTGGACCATCCCATTTTCTCACACTCTCCTCCCCACGCCCCTTCCCTCCTCCTTGCTCCCCTTCCACCCTCCACTCTCCCTTCCATGCTCCCAGTTAGCTCAGGAGCTCTTGTCTATTTCCCCTTGCTAGGCGGATCCATGTAGAAATGTCATATTTTGTCAAGTAGAAAACAACGGAGTTCCCTTAGGACACGGGCCTCTTTTCCTTTCATTAGCCTGGCTCACAATTATGGCGATAATTTATCACGTATTTTCCACTGGTATTTTAAACACAGATCAAATCCATTCATTGAGAATAAAAGCTGGGGACAGGGGCCTGTTTCCCAGTGCCATGTGACTCAGATTTCCTCCTCTTCCTTCACTTCCTCACCCTTGCAATGAATGCTTTCTCTGACTTATTTTTAGGACCGAAGATTCAATGATGAGATCGACAAGCTAACTGGATACAAGACAAAATCCCTATTGTGCATGCCTATCCGGAGCAGTGACGGAGAGATTATCGGTGTGGCCCAAGCAATAAATAAGATTCCTGAGGGTGCTCCATTTACGGAGGATGACGAAAAGGTAAGATCTCATGCCTCGCATGACTTGGACTTTCCATTTTGCTCGCTGATTGCTGCTCTCACTGAAAGGGTGGGAATTATGTGAATAGTTCTTCGATTAGCCTATTCACAGATCAAAGAGCTTTTCCTAGGCTGTACAAAATGTAATGGGAGGCTTTTTTAGCATTTCATAGAATGTGCTATAATTGAAAATAATCATTGCACTTTTTTTTAAAGCCTGCTTTTCATTACAAGTCCCAGTAGTATTCTTGCTACTGCCTGGTCTTTATTTTCCTTGTAAGTAAGCCTTTTAATTGTGAGCAGTGCCATGGCCATACATGACCCAAGGGAGGCCAGAGCATATGGGAATATTAGTGAAGTTCCAAAACTCAGCATTTGCTCTTGTCGATCTATAACTACAACAGAGTTGTTTTCTTACTTCTTATATAAAAACCTCAAAAACACTAGTGTTATTTAGTTGTTATTGTAAACCACTAGTAAAGAGGGCATCATTTTTGCTTCTGAAGAACAGATGGCTCTGCTAGAAGTGACATAGTTTTTGTTCTAGAACTTTAAGTTCCTCTAGTACCAGTTTACTGCAAGCCGTGGGGGTGGGGGAGAAGGCTCCTCAGGGAGCGAAAGTTCTGGCTTTGAGATGTTTACCTTCCTGCTCAATAGAAGCTGGTGGAGATGAAAGCAAGTCTCATAAACATATTATTTATGTTTGAGGACTGCTGTATTGCTATTGACTGAGAACTTTATAGTTTAGCCCTCTGCTGTTGCCAGGGCTATTAGTATTTCATGGATGCAAATGTACTGGTATATAAGGCCAACATGAAATATGGCTACAGGGGGACAGAAAGACTTTTAAACAAAGTGAGACTTTCACTTCTGCAGTGGAATTGGAAGAACCCCGGTTCTTATAAGAGTCTGTAAATTCACAGAGCCTCACAGATCCTTGGATGACTTCTTACCAATTCTGTGTCTGAAGTACACGGGTTGGGATCATAGGAGGCAGGTGGGTAAATCCCTCATGTTTTGTGCCATCCAGGAGCTTCCCGAGGTGGGAGATGACAAAATGTTCTAGAGCATGCTGACTGTAGAAGAGAGAGGAGCTCCAAAGGGCCATCTTGGAAGAGATAACGTTTCATCTCTGAGTCAAGAATAGGTTCCAACTGACAGAACCAAGAGAGACAGAAAAAAAAAAAACATTTGGAAGCCAGTTTGCAATAAATGGCGGTGACTTCAAAGATTCATGGCTGTCTAGTGCCAAGAAAGCTGAAGGCTCAGCCCTAAGCAAGAACTACAACACCCCTTCTAAGGCTCAGGGAACCTTGTGGGAGAGGGCCAGGAAGAATGGACTAGGGAACAGATGAGGAGAAGTGTTATGAAATGTTGTATGCAGGACACAGCCACTGTAATAAAGAATTCACAGCAACTGTGGTTACATACACTTGGCCTGCATAAGGCTGGGCCTGTGACTGTGGATGCAGAAGTGTCCATAAAGCCTAACCCTTACTGCTGAACTATTGACTAGATGATTCCTAGAGAGGAAAAGTCATTGTTTTCAGTTGTGTTATCCACAGGTAAGCCCAGCAGGCTCCAACGGAGAGCTCTAAATCCATGGTGATATAAATTCTCAATCCATGGCAACACTAATAGCCCTGGTTAAACTCAGTGAGTCAGAAAACAAAGCATGATGAGAAAGACAGTTGTAGGGAAAATGGGGGAGTAAATGGGTAGGATGTACATTAAAGAGAGTAAGGAGTGAGAGTCATCAGTATGCATTATAAACTTGCATGACATTGCAAAATATTAATAATAAAACCCATTAAAATGTAGTGCAGACCATTTTGGTCAGTATAACACATGGTCATGGAATATCTAAGCAAAAACATTTTAGAAAGATTTTACCTTTTACTTATATGTATGTTTGTGTGGGAATGTGTTCATGGGAGTGCAGGTGCCTGCAGAGGCCAGAAGAGGGCGTTGGATCTCCTGGAACTGGAGTTACAGACAGTTGTGAACCGTCAGGTGTGGATGCTGTGGGCCAAACCAGGGTCCCCGGGAAGTGCAGTACAAACTTTTAAATGCTAAACCATCTCCCCAGTCCCAATGGGAGATTTATTTTAATTTTTCAGCTATAGATGGCAAAATCCTGAGCTAATATGTCTCCTTTCAAAGTTTAGATAGGATTTGGGGTTTGTGCCTTTTAGACTATAACAACTTCTAAGCCTGTGGTCTGCCCTCTGCTCTGCCCCCTTCACTTAGGGATCCCACCAGATCTTTCCTTTGATTCATTTATGTTATGATTGCTTTCTGGACTCCTCTGTGTGGATTTGTACTTATAAGATAGGGCTCCATTAAGCTCCAAATGATTTAGGCTTGCTCCAGGCTTTGTACCATTCTTGAATAGCATCAATGTTTAACTCTATTAAACACCCGGCTTTTGTTGAGCCCAGCTTGGCTGGTGACAAGCAGGCACATTGAGAAAGCTCGGGAATCTTCCTCAGCTCCCATGCCTGTCAGTTGGAGTGTCTCCCACCATGCGGCATGAGAATTAAATAAGATCAGAACGACACACTCTCTGTAAAATGTAAGACGCTGGGCAAGTGTAAGCTAAAGTTTCTACATCTAACATTTCACAGAGGTTTAAATTTTTCTTTTGTATTTGTCACTTATCCTCAGAAAGATTATCTCCCAGGGTCAATCCTATTTTCTTGTTCCCAAATCTCTGATTTTTTCTTCTAAAATTACTTCTTGTGCCCATAGTATAATTTTATCCTCCAGTATGTTTTTAAAAACCCATATAGTATTTTTACTGCTTTGGAGTTTTATCAGTCAGGGCAGGCGGAGTATGTTTATTCAGGTGACACAGTTATAAGACACTTTATGTCCACGACTTCTAGCCTGGGCTGGTTTCTTCTTGCAAGGGTTCTATGTATTGTACATCCAATAGACATGGTTAGGAAAAAAAGTGAAAAATAAATTCTAGAAGTGTTTGATGGAAAAGAATACAATTTTGCTGCCTATGCCAGAGGATGAATGACAATGGGACTTTACAGCTGCCCAAGTGATATTTGCACTGAAATGACTCCTTGGGTACCACTATGTGATAGGGCCAGAGGGGGATTCCATGAGAGGGCACATGGAAACTAGCTGGAAGAGCACTTAGCTCACAGGGGTCCTCATGTAAGAACCCCCCACACACACTGACAGCAGGGCTCTGGCAGGGCTCGGTGAAAAATGATCTTTGTATAACTTGTCTCTAAGTTTCTATTCATTGGAACTTCCAGGTTGCTGAGTTTGTAGAGGTGACAGGAGGAACATGCAGCCAGAGGGAACAGAAGCTCAGCCCTTCTTCTTTAGCTGCGTATTCTATTCTAAGTCTGTAACACACAAGGAGAGTGTGCACACATATGCAAACAGGAAAAGACCAGACCATTCGTGACGATGTAGGTCAGACCCACCCTCATCAGTGGCCAGCCTGGGGGTGGGGGACCAGGAAGACCCTGGCTTTTGCCAATAAGAAGCTCCCTGAACTACCACCTAAGGCCAAGGTGTTGCATTATCTGTCCTTTGGTACCCTCATGCCACAACTTCAAATGAAAGCATATCTAATCCTAACCCTCCTGTTTTCACTGTAGGATGTGCTGCTGATGCTGCCCCTTTGAGAATGCCAGATGCAAGTGGTGGTGGCTGACTTCCTCTTAGCATGGTCTCAGCCGACTGCCCGTTCGTTTTCACTAAACAAAAGTTTTGACTAGTGCAGACTATGTGCCAGGTATCTTCTGTAACTGTGGTTTCATTATGGGTTCATGGTTTTCTTGTGTCGCTGTTAAAGAATATACTGTTATTTATTTCATTCTTTAAGATTATCTTTACACTAGTTTGTATTCTACTTCTTATTTTATTTTTGAGATAAGGTCTCATTATGCTTCCTTAGCTGGCCTGAAGTTGCTGTATTGACCAGGCTGGTCTCAAACTTGTGACAAACCCACCACATCTGCCTCCTGAATGCTGAATGTAACAAGTGTGCTACCTTGATCAGCCTCACATTCTCTCTATATAATTTAAACATAAATTGGTTTCTTCCATATTTGTCCACATGTGAATGTATTTTGTATTTTCCACTTGGGGTGATTATAAAGTTTTCTAATTTTCTTTTTTTTTACATAATCTCGTTTATCTGTTTTTAATTTGGGGTATTTCTACATGTAAACTAATTCATTCTGGGTATTGGTATATTCACTACATGTGTGTATGTGTGTATCATATTGCATAATATGATTCGTATGTCTTGATGTCTTCACGTTCTGGGTTTTGTTTTGTATTGTTTTTGTTTTTCGAGACAGGGTTTCTCTGTATTGTTTTGAAGGCTGTCATGGAACTCACTCTGTAGACCAGGCTGGCCTCGAACTCACAGAGATCTGCCTGCCTCTGCTTCCCGGGTGCTGGGATTAAAGGCATGTACCACCAACGCCTGGCTCAAGTTCTGGATTTTGAAGACTACAAGTTATGTGAACAAGTTAAATAAAGTCTTGAACATATTTCCTTTTGCTTTCCTATCACTTCCTTGTGGTGAACTCCAATGATTGAAATTTACTAAGTCAAAAAGCAACCAAGTCTTTGCTGTCAGAAGCTTTCAAAACCTCTGAACTCATTTACAGTGGTGTCACTATTAGACAAGCCTGTGGTCTCAGTGCCCTGCTGACTTTGATCAGTTCACATTTAAAAAACCAAAGTTAGTTTCCCTTGCTCTTCTAGGCAGGCTTTAGACAACCTTCTTTCACATTCAGCGAGAACATACAATCCAGCAGCAGGCTGGAGAGATGACCCAGATATTAACAGTGAGTAGTACTCTTGTAGAGGATCTGAGTTCAGTTCCTGGCATCCACAGGGTGGCTCATAACCACCTGTACCACCAGCTCCAGGGGATCTGATGCCCTCTTCCTGCCTCCATGGGCACCACACTCATGTGTAGAAACCCTCACACAGACACATATGTTTTTTTGTTGTTTT